AAACAAATTATTTACGACAACATATTTAGTATTGAATACAATATGAACTTACTTCCAACATGCAGTCTGGTTCCTCCACCAAACGTGTACCACAGTGATACAAACTGATTGAGGCGTCGTACAAAAACCTCTGACTGTAGAGAGACACGGCTCTCTGACTGTCAGACTGAACTAAACCTACAAACTCTCAACATTCAACTATTAAACCACAAATAATAATTTGTCCTCTGGACCATCCTGAAGTTTTAGACTCACTGCAATGAATTTTAAAATTTACATTTTTAAAATGAACTTTGTGACTCGCTGCAAAACTATTTGTTAGCAAATTTAATATTAAGATGAAAAGAAGTTTATTTTACATGAATAAAAACGACGTGCCAAGAAAACGAAATATAATACAAAAAAAAAAAACTGCTTTAATTGAACTTACTTCCAACATGCAGTCTGGTTCCTCCACCAAAAGTCCACCACAGTGATACAAACTGATTGAGGCGTCGTACAAAAACCTCTGACTGTAGAGAGACACGGCTCTCTGACTCTGAAACAAACACACTCAATTAAATGATTTGCTGTTTGTATTATTTTGTCAACTCATGTTAAAACTGAAAACAACTTCTCAAATTTTCTATTTTTTTCTTTTTATGAAGAATATTTCTGTTTTGAAATCAGTTAATTTCTCAAAGAAATAATTACTTGATTATGTTTAAACTGTTAAAACACACATGAAAAAATCACAAGAAGTAAATGACAAAAATATTCAATCAACCAATTCATGGATAAATAGATTGATCCATTGATACACTGGATAAATATTTGAAAAAGGTAAGCTTTTAAAACAACATTTGTCCTCAAGAGTAAAGCTCCATCCATCCATCATCTATACACCTCTTAATCCTCACAAGGGTTGTGGAGAGCTGGAGCCTCATAGGGCGACACAGAGAGATAACCAAGCACACTCACATTCACACCTACGGACAATTTACAATCACCAATTAACCTCAACATGTTTTTGGACTGGGGGAGAAGCTGGAGAACCTGTAGAGAACCCACGCTGCACGAGGAGAACATGGAGACTCCACGCAGAAACATCCCAGGGATCCTAATTATGATGCAAACCGGGGATCTTCTTGTTGTAATACGATGGTTCAAACTTATGAGAAACCGTTCAGACCAAGAATAAACCTGACTCCAACATTTTCAAAAACAGATTTTGAAAGTTACTCATCAATTCTCTGATCAAGTGATTGATCAGTTGATAATCAGCATCATCAGAGTGATCCAAGTCCGTGCTGGAGTCAGTCAGACATTTCCATAGAGAGCCACTTTGCATCAGCAGCACCATGCTCCAGTGCTCTGGGAGACTTTATAGTCCTGACACTTGAACTCTGGATGACTGACAGCTGTCCTTCATGACAACAGG